TTACCACTGCTTTTTACATCAACAAAACTAAATAATTCAAGTTGATGCCTGTATGGTGATGTGCATGTGTTTCCATGATTCCATCATAAAAAAAATTAGGAGTTGTAGGAGTCACTGTAAACTCAAGACTGTCATGACATACAAGGTCTTTATGAATGAATGCAACACTTCAATACACGACTATACATTTCATGTGGATGGCTTAAAATTGCCATTTAAACTATATCAGCTTGAATGAGTCCGTTCATAAATGTTGTTTCAGTGGGTTTTTCTATGAAGCTGGCATCCTTCTTGGTATGTGCTTCTATTCAGAGCTTTGACTGCTGAATTTTGGCACGTGATCAGCCAAGTGTAATCCACAGCAATATTATGCCAGTATTCTTCTGTCTGTATTAATGCTGACTCTGTATGAGGACCGTGGCTGAGCTGATGGTAAGCTCAGCCTGTCAGCAAAGAAAGTGACAGCATCAAATCAGTGTCTATCATATTGAAGAGAGAATTAATAGGGATCATCCCATGAAAAATCAATGATTGTCTCCCTCCTGTTAAACTGTAAGTCAGAAGATGTTGTCAGCCTTTATGCAATATCTCATATCATATCATTCAGACCCTAGTGATGAGCAACCAAGTCCTGTTTTTATTGAGCGCATTTTATTTCTATAACCAACTCTGAGTAAGTAATAGAAACACGCGTTGGTACCCTGGATGTGTCATCTGTTTCCTGATTTTTCAATGGCCCCCTGAAACATACTTTTGAAGGTTTTCTCCAGTAAATTATCAGAAAAACAGCAACACAGCAGGGGTTCTAATGCTTGCTTTTATGATTCTATGTCATAGACAATAAACTGCTACAGTTGTTTGGCGTTAGACTCTGACACCTGGAGTAGATGTGGAAATAATTTGGTTGGTTTCATGTGTCTTTGTCCTGTACTTGTGAAGTTATGAGGACTCGAACTGGACAAAGTAATGCAAATTGAAAAGCAAAAACTTGACCTACCACTGGATTTCAAGGGCCAGTAAAAAGAAATCATAGTATGAAGATAAAATTTTGCATTTGCTTGTCTTAGATGACCTGCCACAATGATAACCTTCACATCATACAACGGCTCTGAGGTGGAAGGATTTTGAGGAGAAAAAAATGGGAAAAAAGTTGGCATCATTCACTCATAAATCATCATATTCTACACTGGTCATATTAAGTGATTCTAATGAGCATGAAAATTTAAATATTTTTCATTGATTCCACTGCACACAGGCATATTACTGTAAATTCCCGGTGATGTTTTCTTGTTAATCTAAATAACATATCTGTGTTTTAGGACTAAGAGTCTAACTCTTACAAGAAAACTCACTGACATTTTTTGAAATTTGGAATATGCTGGGCTGCTTTCAAATATGTGTGTAATATTATTTTTATCCTTGATAGATGAAAGTCAGCGTAGGCATCTGATCTACATCTCTGCCATACATTTTTAGCAAGACAATTGTTCTCCTGAGTGAATAACAGACTGTCTTACAAATTCAGCTTTCTTTTTGAAGACCATAAGAACTGTTCAGAACGGGATGTGAATAGGACACTGCAGCACTGACACACTGCAGATCGAACAACTGAAGCTGTATTTGCTATGCACAATGTTTTATTTATTACTTCAGCTTTTGATGAGTCAATCAGTCCTCATCTTCAAGTCTCTCCCATCTAGAAGTGGCACGATGGTTTAAGAAGTCACTGACATAAGTGCTGATTTTCTTCATTGCTTTCATGGTTTGCTTCTGTTTCTTCTCTGATACAGGAGGTGTCGCTCCTTCCTGGTCTTCAGTTTTCTCTTTGCCAGCCTGTGTTATGTTGTTCCTCCTATTTCCTGCCTGCCCATGCTTTCCCTTCACTGTCCCCAAAGACTCCTCATCTTTTGTTCTGTCCCCACACAGACTTTCTTCGTCTTCCATGGTGAAGCTGGGGTTTATATAACAGTGATTCCTTCTACATTCCTCCTCTACTGATTCCTTCACTAACTGGCTGTTGTCACAGACAGGGGCGACATCCAATGGAAAGTTTTGGCTTTCATCACTGGGGGCATTACTGAAGTCATCACTAGTTTCAGTAATACTTATGAAACAATCACTGGAGTCACTGCTACTGGAAGGAACCGACAAAGTCTTCCATCTACCCTCTTGCTTACATTTCCACACTATGAAGACAGACAGACAGACAGACAGTCAGATAGATAGATGGAGTAGTATATTGATTCCCTAAAAGAGAGTACAGAACTGCAGCAAATACACCGCTATTATCAGAGTGTGTTTCAGAAAAGATAAACCTGAATGTCTTCAGGCCCAGAGATTATTTTTTACCATCATCATCTTCATCACTGCTCTCATATTCCTCCTCCATTCTGCGAGACCATCTTGATGCCATCCTATAAGCTCCGTACTGCCTGGTGTGGTATTGTCTCTCTCTGACTTCCTCCATCACTAGTCTGGTCAGCTCCTGAAGCGCAGCCTCCATCTCCTCTCTCATGAGAAGGAACTCTAAACGCACCTCTGCGATTCGCTTCTCCACCTGTTTATTCACCAGCTTCTTGATCCAGAGGATGCATGACCTCCTGTCATTTGCTGTCTGCGGTGTCCTCCTGACAAAAAATAAAAACAAAATCTAACAACATTAAGCTGATGAAAAGCCATATGACATTGTTTATATACATTTCAGAAGTAATCATTTGTATTTGAAGTATGGTTATTACTAAAATAAGATTCATTCAAGATTATATGTAGGACTTGTACCTGAAAGGAGAGAAACTGATGTGTGTCTTTCTTGCAGATGCGGCCATCAGGATATGTTCTTGTTCAAAGTTCTGTGTGAAAAACAAATGCTATTAGTTCTTTTTTTTTGGTTTTATACCATCACCACATATGGCCATTTTTGTTTTTTGCCGTTCTAAATGAATGTATCAGACAAACACTTTGTTAACAAATAGCCTTACTGTCTTTACTAAAGGCCACTGTATTACTGAACTGTTGACCAATTACATGAAACATTTTTTTCATCAACTATTATTGCAGAAAATTGTCTTACCTCAGTTAACAAGCAGTTGAAATTTCTTTCTCTTTTTGTTGCTGCTTCAGTACAGTTTGTGTTTTTTCTTTTGTATACATTTGAAGTTCACTGAGCTTGGCAGCATCTTCTCCAGAACTGTGTCAGCCCATAACATTCCAGTGCATTATAATAATGATGCATCCTTTAGCAAACAATAGCAGAAAAATAACAGCTATTTCTGTAATAACTGAATTTAAATGTTTTGTGGTTGATTTGTCATAAAAAGATTTATCTTTTCGTGTTAAGTAGTGCTCATGCCACATGAAGTTCGATTGAACGTTATGTGTATGAATGTATGTGTGTATGAAACCCCAGAAGTTTGAATCTGTGTTTTTGAGGCTCGTCACTTGTAGGATGTAAAAAAAAATAAAAATAAAAAAACACCCCTGTGTTCTGCGGATTCATTGTAAAGATAAATAGTAGAAAGTTGTTGTATTTGTATACCAACGTCTATCAAAGAAACAAATATATCCATCCATCCATCCATGATCTATACACCGCTTAATCCTCACAAGGGTCACGGGGGGCTGGAGTCTATCCCAACTGACTTAGGGTGAAGGCAGGGGACACCCTGGACAGGTCACCAGGCTATACACTTAGAGACAGACAACCAAGCACACTCACATTCACACTTACAGACAATTTTCAAATCACCAATTATCCTCAACATGTTTTTGGACTGTGGGAGGAACCCACACTGCACGGGGAGAACATGCCAACTTCACGCAGAAAGAACGCTGGTGTCCACACCAGGACGCGAACCGGTAACCTTCTCGCTGCGAGGCAACAGTGCTCACCTCCGAGCCACCAAATATATATACTCCCATAACAATGGCATGCAAACAATAATCAAAGCAGGATTTCACCTTCTTAAGCGTGAATATTTTCTGGTTTCTGTTCTCCTCAATGACAATAAACTGAATATCTTTGGGTTGTGGACAAAACAAGACATTTGAGGACATCATCTTGGGCTTTAATCAAACAACAAATCAACTTCGCTTAACTCCCTGCAAACTATTTTTTATTTTATAGAACATGCATTTCTTTCAGAAGGCATGTCTGCAAATATTTAGAAGCTCATTTGTGTTAGCCCTCTCAAGAGATGACTTACCTGACAGTTAAAATAACAAAGGTTAGTGTTTCAGCATGTGTTTAATTCGCTGATGTAATATTATGTAATATGAATAACTTTTGTTAATTACAGCAGCAGCAACAGTGAAGATACAAAGCATGTTTATTTTAAAAATGAGAAAAGGAATGCTTGTGTTTTTTTTAAAATGAGCTGAGCTTTCCTGACCGTTGAAGCTGTGTATTATGTCAGCATGCGTATTTTTCAGTTTGTTTTTAGCATTTGCATAAACAGATGACAGAGTGATAAAGAATGTGTGGAGGGCATGTGTTGTGGTCCGCAGCCTCGTCGTTAGTGACAGCCTTTTTCCACATCCTCAGCCTGTGATTGGCTGACCGAGCCTAATACCCGGCTGCTTCATTCTGATTGGCTCTCAAGCGATCCGCTCAACTGCTGGAGTCTGCGCAGTAGGCACAGCGCTGAAATTCAAATTTGAACGGAGCTTGTTTTGTCCAGTGAAGAGGAACCGAGAAGAGAGACGCTGAGAGCTGCTGAGCTCGCCTCGTTACGCCCTGTTTCTGTCCACACAGCAGTGTCCAAGACTTTTAAAATAGTTCTGATATATTGCGCGAGGTGGTCTAACCGTCCAAATGGATCCGTTCACTGAGGTGAGTCGCTGAGCTAACTTTACTAACTAGCTAACATAAGGTTACCTCGAAAGTACTGCGTTAAAGTTACCTGCTAATGCTAACACAACTAACGTGGCATTTTCTGTTATATATATTTAAAGACAACAGGGGAGTAGCTTGCTTACTTCAATTATAATTTTACATAACCGAGCTGAAATTTACAGAAATTGAACGCTATCTTAATATACAAGGATGATGAAAACATATCACGTGTTGTTTCTTTGTCTTCTCAGTCATCAGCAACCACAATTCTGGGATATGAAATAGCATCTATACTGTGCTTTAATCTACTAAAGGCAGTGCTTACAGTGATCTTGACGTTTGGCATGTTGGCAAGTGATTTAGCCAAATAGACTAGTTCCAAATACATGTTATTGTAACGTTCACTCTGCCAAAAATACACCACAACGTAACATTAGTCACATGAAACGAGTTCGTCTCCGTTTAAGGCAATGGTATGTGTGAGCACTGGAAAGTGTCCAGCAACTGCCAATCTTTGCTTGATTTTTTTTTTCCTGATACACTGGTAGTGTTGCATGCTGAAATTCAAAGTGAATTTGGAATGTATGAGAACACGTCTTGTTCCTCCAGTTAACTGGCCAATAGAGTTTGATCATTCAAATGGAGGAACTACCAGCAGGAGTGGCTTATTCCTGAGGAATGCTCTTAAATGTGACTTCATGTTTTCCACACTGCCTGGAGAAAATGTGCAGGAGGTGCAGCGCAGCTTCAGGAATGTGTTTGGGCTTGCACAGTTAACGCACAGCACAGTAAATCAGACTGTATTACAGACTGTGTGTGAGGCTGAGGGAGGGGAATGTCACATGAAGAAAAGAGGAAGGAAAGAGGGCATGCAAACAGGGGCCTTCTTATCTTTGGTGGAGAAGGACTGTTTTGTGTGTCCAAGGCTGTTAAGTTGCTTCTTTTGAGAGAGAGAGAGAGAGAGAGACAGTGTTGCCTCTCTTGTCTCACATGTTGGGTCACGGATATTCAGCAGTTATCTGGGAAGGTCGACTATATTTGTCCCTTTTGTAGAAAGACAACAGACTAATTGCGAGTCTCGCAGCAAAAACAGTATAATTATAAGGAGATGTGACTAAAACCGAAGTCCCAAGCTGCAGTGCAAAAATGTATGAATAGTTAGAGATTGGGGGAAAAAAATTAAATTTATTGGGAGTATTTGTAGATTCCCCATTAACAAAAACAAAACGCTAATTTAAAAGTTTTGGAATTTGGATTTTTTTGTTTTTGTTTTTCCCCTTTTCTCCACAAGATGGGAAGTTTAGTCAGAAACAATGAGCTAGATCACAAATGTCTTCTTTTGAACAGGGCCATTTACTCAGCATTTGGCTTTGCTTTGCATTCATGTATGTTTACAAAAAAATGTCCCACTTTGTGAAGTTGGTGTGTTGGAAGCAGGAAAAACAGACAGCCAGAGTGACTTTTACCAAATTGAGCCAAATTGTGGTGGCCAGATTACAGGTCTTGTGGGGTGTTTCCGGTATGCAGTGGTTAGTCCCCACCAAAAGTGGAGCAAGGAATTACAGCCGTTGACTCAGCGACAGGCTCATATGTGCCCAAGACTTAGTGCTAGCCTGTGTGATCTGACTGAATGGAAGAGTTATTGCAGAACAAACTGTTGAAAGCCTTAATCACTGGTTGTGATCGAAAGCTGTCATGAGACACAGTGTATTGCAGTGTAACCATGCAAGACTCTGTCTGCCTCCAAAAGCACCAACAATAGTTACCCAGAACTGACCAGCACCAGGAAGAAGGTGGGCTGGTGAATCATGTTTTCATGTGGATGGTCACCTGTACATGATGTACTTGTGGCAGCAATGGCAGCAAGAAGCACTATGGAAAGAAAGCAAGGTGGCGTAAGCAGTGTAACGCTCTCTGCAGTGTCCTGCTGGGAAATCTTGGATCCTGGCATTCATCATGATGTTAGTTTGACACATGCCACCTACCTAAACATTTTTACAAACCAGTAATTTGCATTAAATGCAATTACAGTAGTTTAGATCTGTCAGTTATGTTAATGCAGCTTCTGAGCAAATACGTGCCTTTGCTTTGCACAGAAGTAGCAGCATGAATAATACACTTTGTGTAACTTCTATTATGACATATTAGTACTGTCCAATCTTGAGACTTTCGCCTGTGACTTGGTTGTGTTCTCATATGTATGAAGCAGCCATTTGATTAACAGTTTAACTGTGTTTGTCAAACTAGAAACTGTTGGAGCGGACACGGGCTCGCAGAGAAAACCTGCAGAAGAAAATGGCAGAGAGACCAAATGCAGCAAACAGACAGATGGTCAAAAGGCCCAGAGAGCCACTGGCTGACACCAACAGTGTCATCACTGAAACTGTCATTGATAAAGGTATGGCCACATTTGTTGAATAACTGTTAATTCAGCCACTGAGTTGCAGCTCCCTTGTGTTTGCTTATATTCCCCAACACTTTCTCCCAGTTCCACAGGTGTCCTCCAAGCCTTCCCCCTCAAAGCGCAGGTGCTCAGGGGAAAACGTCCAGCCTGCTGCCAGCGAGGAAATCCAGGAGCCAATGATGACTCGAGCTGCAGCTCCTGTTCGCTCAGATCCTCCAACAGACAAGAAACCCCCAGCGGGCCCTGCCAGCATTCGATCTTCCTCCTCCTTGGAGAAGAATTCACCCCGGCCCATTGTACAGTCTCAGCTGGGACAGCTGGAAACTGCACAACCAGAAGCAGAAAGGATGACTGTCAGCTCTGCTCCTGATCCTCCAAAAAGCAGAGAAGCACAAATGGAACCTGCCAGCTCATCCACACAAAGGAGCAAGGAGGATCTGGTTGAAGATCCAGCTCCATCTGCTCCTGGCATGAAATCCCGCCTACAGAGGCTAGCACAACAGAGAAAGTACTGGGATGGCGATGGTAAGAATATTTTGTTCTACTGTTCCAACTCATTTTTAAAAAAATGTAACTGTGCTGTGCTTTTGCAGTGTAATACTCCTGACGTCACACGATTAGGGGTTGTTTATTAGGTGCTTGTGAACGCTAATAGTCACGGCTGTGATGTCCACTCTTTCAAATGCTTGGTAGTCTTATAGTTTATCTGTCTAAATGATGCACATTACAACCTTTACAGACACCTCAGATGCAGTTGAAGACTCTACTCCTCTGTCCGAGTTGAGGAGACAAGCTGATGCCCCACCAGCTGCTGTACCCACTGTCTCCTCAGGAACTCCACTAGGCAGAAAAGGCAGACTGGCCAATCTGGCTGCCACTATTGGAACCTGGGAAGATGATCTAAGCCATGCTAACATCCCCAAAGAGAAGCCTGCTCCTGCCTCTGTTCCTAAATTTGCTGTCAGAGACGCCCCTGTGGCTGCCAGCACTAAACAGAGCACTGAAGTGACCACTTCAGCTGCAAGCAGCAAATCCTCATCCAGTTATACTCAGGTAGGCCTACCTGATATTGACTTCTCTTTCAGAATAGTTGTTGTATTTACCCAATATTATAAGGGCTAGTGGTGGTCCAGATGTTAGAAAACAAAAACGTTTTTTCTTTTCTTTTCTTTTTTTAAAAGTAGTAGTATGGAAAAGGGAGAAAGCACCACTTGCACTTCCTTCATCAACATATGACTCAAGCCAGGAATTCAAATACTGCTACAGAAAAGTGTTCAAGAGTAAATTCATTTATTCAGTTCTAGTCTAAACTTAGGAGACTGTTTTGTTTTCTTAAAAAAATAGTCCCATGTGTTCAAACTTGTTATTTTTGAATGTGCTTTATGAATAAAGCAACTTGCCATTTGTGTCTTTTAAGCAGGCCGTGTGTTCTCCAGCAAAGCCAAGCCGAGTGGTTCTCCCAAGCCCTCAGAAGGCTGACATTCCTGCATCCAAACCCGCACTTCAGTCAGTAACCAGTCCTCAGAAGAGCTCCAACCAGGGGGTGACCTTCCCCTCTAGTCCCCAGAAGAGCTCCATTCAAGGAAAAGCCTTCCCATCCATTACCCAGAAGGCAGGCCAACCCTCATCCTCCTCAGCATCAGTGCCTCAAAGCCCCGTTAAGAACCAGGCCCTCTCCAGAGGCCTCAACCTTACTTCCAGCCCCCTAAAGCCAGAGCTTCGTGCCAAGCCAACCATTGCTGGTTCCTCAGCCCCCCAGGATAAGGCCACGCCTGGAGGTCCTGGTAAGTCAGGCTGTAGTTGATTTACAAATTATTCACTTGTTGTACTGGGAGCACATTTCCTACATTATTTCCTTTTTAATTTTGGGCAAAATACAGTTTTGGGGATCCTCTCCTAAATATTTATACACAACCTTTTATTTGTAATCATTCAGACAAATCAGGACTGCTGCAGATACATTTTCTGTTAGTTTCTTGTATCCGTATAGAAGAATATGTCATTATTTTTTTTGTTTCTTTGCTTTTTTTTGTTCAATCCAAACAGGTGTAAAATCTTTCCTGGAGCGCTTTGGAGAGAGATGTCAGGAGCGCAACAATCACGGCTCCCCGTCCGGAGTCACAACCCAAACCAAGACTCCTACCGTAACCCCATCAGTCACACCAAACACCAGACTGGTGCAGGAAAGACTCCGAGCTGCCCAGTCTGCAAACACCACCAGTGCTGATCTCACTCAGAGACAGAAGCTGGTAGGTAGATGTTCAGATGCTGTGGTGTGTCCTCATCTTTTGGGATCATTTTAATAACAAAAAATAAATAAATCTCCCTCATTTCAGGAGCGTGAGTCTGAGCTGGCTCAGATTCGCAATCGCTTCCAGAAGGGCAACAATATGTGGAAAAATAAAGATGAAGGGGCAGAAACCAAGACAAATACAAACCACAAGGTAAGACCACCTTCTGAAAGGGCAATGTTGTGTTTGACGTCTGAAAATAAAAGGTCACATTTCCCAGCATATACCAGATTTTAAGAATAATTTACTTTTTAGGAACAGCTTGACAAGCCTGTGGAATGTGAAGCTGCCTCATGTGAGCCACAGGATGAACCCACAGCACCATCCAGTGAGAGAGCAGAAACACCCACCAAGTGCAGTCCTTCAGGTACTCAGTGATACGTCACAGTGGGGGTCGGCAACGTGATTTTTCCAGGGCTGATGCCAGTTATTAGTATTCAAGTGGACTGATAACTAATATTTGAAACTGATGAAGAAAGGCTGGCAAATAAACTGAAGGCTGTGAATGTGTAAGTTAGGGATTATCAACACCACTGCCTGATTTCTAAGACGCAAGCCTCGTTGTTCCAGCTGCAGCCTGGTGGTGTTAAATGATCTTAGGAGCAAGTCAAAAACAAATATAGAAACATCCTTCAAACTGGAAGTAGGCTTGTGCAAATCTTATAGAGTCCACAAGTACAAGCACTTTAACCAGGTTCTGTTTTACTGTAGTGACGTCCTGCTATGAGGCCGATGAAACAGCTGTTTAATATTGGTGGCAACTCACCAGTACAAAAAATTAAATTAAATTAAAGCAAGAAAGACTGGAGTTCCCTCTGCTCAGAATCTGTGCTTGTCAAGGGTTTACACATTCTTTAAAAACGCTTACCTTCCCCTCTCACTATCTGTGCACCGAGCTCTGGGTGGGTGGTGTTTTAATACATGTTGATCTGTTATGTGGAACATAAACTGCTCCAGAGCAGGTTAGGTGTGCAGAATAAGTTACCATGGCAATGTACCCCAGAAACACATAAACCACCATTGTAGCCCTGACAACCCAAAGTTAAACCTGAAGTTACCATGCTGACCCTCTGCTTCATAGCACAGGCCTCTGGTAGTGAGTGGTTATTTCCCAACATCTCTTTTTTTTCCACTAAACTTTCTGTCACCAAAACAAATCAAAGTTCAATGTGGAAGAAGTTTGGACTTCTGAAAGTCAAACCTTATAAATAAATTTAGAATAACAATACATAACACTTGTATAGTGCTTTTCAAACCACTCAAAGACACTTATTAAGGTTCAGATGGAGTAGCAGCGAACAAGCAACGCCAGCGTCTTCTCACATCCGGCTGGTTATGGATAAACACTGACGCATTGCAATGTTATGGAACTTTACAGAAGTTAAGTGTTGGTAAGGGGGTTCATTCTGTACTCGGTCACGTGAGCATCAGTCGCAATCACTAAATGTCCTTACTAAATGCAAATAACTTGGGAATGTATAGTAGTTTCAAACCCTGATTTTGTCAAATAGCAGGTCATGGGTTGCTGGTTTCACCTCCAGCCTCAACATCCAGCCCTCTGAAGGTGGTCACCCAGACCGATGAAACTCCCAAGGAAGAAGAAAAGGAGGTGGTCACGGAGACAGAGATGAATGTGGACCAGTCCATCAACTCCGCCGTCATCAACGAGCTCTTTGATGGAGTCCTGGAGCAGAGTGAAGATGAGGATGATGAAGATGAGGAGGAAGATGCTTTGAATATCTCCTCCATGTCCCTCCTCACTCCACTGGCTGAGACTGTGGCCGCTGTGGTGAAGAGTCCAGAGAGGAGGATGATGGTGGGCACTGACATGACTGATCTTTTTCATGGAAATACAGCAATAAACAGCTTAACCATAACATTTCTTCATGTCATTTGTGCAGACGTCGACTCCAGCCAGCTCATTCATTGTGAAGAACAACAATCCAGACATTGTTTCCAAACCTAGCAAGTTCCAGCGGGCTAACATGATACGGACTGCCTCCTCAGATAGTGTTGAGGCCTTAGACGAGGACCACAAACTGCCCTATAGGTAAGCGCTCAACTATGTTCAAGTTGACTCTGTTCTTTGTCTCAGTGGATGCAAGCTTTAATATGAATCTGTATGCTGCTGTGGTTTTTTTTTAGCATCGACGCATACAGGTCAACCAGGGTGAAGGAGACCGAGAGGCCCAGTGTGAAGCAGGTTATTGTGAGAAAAGAGGATGTCTCTCACAGAGCAGAGGAGCCACGAGGATCCAGTCTCTTCAGCATCAAACAGAAGATGAAGGTTTGGAAGAAAATACATTTGACTTTCATTCATGCCAGATTACAGTAAAAGAATCTTTATGTGAACTATTTTCTTCACTTAAAACTTGGGTGTGAGTGTGTCAGACAGCTCAGTAAAGCTTGCCCTCTGTGTGACAGGTCCTGACGAATGAGATGAACCTACAGCAGACAGTTATCCATCAGGCCAGCCAGGCCCTCAACTGCTGCACAGATGAAGAGCATGGCAAAGGATCCCAGGTGGAGGCTGAAGCAGAGAGGCTGCTGTTGGTGGCAAGTGAGTCCAATGTCACAAATAATAATCAATAAATCAATAAATGTCACAAATTAAAGTGCTGATAGATTCAAGCCTGTATGTACATAAGGATCACAGACATCTACCTTGTATTAATTCTGAAGCCACAATACAGCTCCACCACTGCAGTCAGTGTACAGTCTGATCCCTTATATGTGAAACTGGTGACCCCTAGTGGTAGCATCGAAGACTTAACTTTGTTTTCTTCTGATGACCTCAGCGGAGAGGAGGGAAGCATTGAAAGCAGAGCTGGACCGTCTGAAAGGGGACCCAGCAGGACAAAAGAAGGTCACTGCAACCCCCCTACCTACCAACATGTCAGCCTCCAAGGGCTCCATCAGCCTGCAAGAGTTACGTTTGCCTCTCAAGGCAGACTTCGTTTGCTCCACTGCCAACAAACCAGGTACACTCGCAATTCATATAATCACAGTTTGGCAATTTAAAGTAACAACAGGCTGTTCCTCAACATTTTCTCCAGGCATTAGTTATTTCTAATGCAGTGTCACTAATAATTAATATTTGTTTAGTCTTGAGATCTAAATTCTACAGGAGCTTTTTTGGATTTATTATACCAGCATTTACCAATATCATTCTGTCTTTTGATGATTTCAGAGTCAACTAAACATTCCTTCTTCATCATGCTTCGTGCTGGAGCAGAGAACACTGTGGCCACCCCATTAGCCAGTACACATCGTGGCCTCAGTGGAGACACCCTCACCTTCCCCACCAAGTTCACCATGTGAGTCAGAGGCTCCTGATTGTACGAAAGAGCCCACAGCGATTATCTGACTATGATTCAGTCACTGTTGTCCACCTTTACTGTGATGACATTTAGTTTGATCATTTGAATAGCACAGTTTCATTAATTAACACAGTTACAAAGTATTGCAAATTCTACTAATTACATTTCAATCAGGTTGTGTACGCATTGACAAAAAACATATTTTCACTTTCAGATCTGACGTCTCCAGCGACTTTGAAATAGATATAGAAGTCTACTGTTTGGTAAGTGTCTTGCGTTATGGTTTACAGTTACAGGAATGGCAATGACGATCACTTCTGACCACAATATTTGACATTTTTCAACTGAGTTTCACATCGATACAACAAAAAACTAAACATATTTTACTGCTGCAAAATACTCCCAACTGTCATCCTCTTGAGTGTCTTTAATTGCTGATGCCAGTCCAATTTAAATGTTTCAAATAGTTCTAAAGCTCCATATGTCGGCTTTTACAGTTCTAGCTACTAGGAAAAAAATCACCAGCTTGCTCATACAAATGTGGAGTCACCAGTAAATAAAACCACAATAAATTCTTTAAGTCTTCTCCTTAAGCAGAGATGCTTTGTTGGTAAGGCGACCACAGAATGACCAAATGGTCACAATAGAGGAAAAACTCACATATTTGCTAAAAAAATCTTAATGTAGTTGGAAAATCATGTAGAGTGAGGCAACAAAGACTTCAATAAACTGTTAAACATATCTCATCCAGTTCAAGTTAGAAATCATTGAAGGGGTAAATCTGACGCGTGTGCTATTTGGGTTGCGTTTAACAAGACATGAACAACTGGAATGTTTGAACTTTACTTTCTGAAGAAGTGAATACTCTAATGAGTTGCCCACATCGTTGGATAGCGTTCCCATAAAGGTTTTAAGTGTTGAAAATACAATTACTGATTTTCAATTTGTAACAATCTCGTTCAGGTGCAGAAACATGAGGTCTGTGGTGACAAGAAGAAGAAACCCAACAAGTCAAAGGTAAATCCACATATTTGGTTTTGTTTTTGTGTCTTTTTTTTTTTTTTTTTTTCCACATTGTCAGTCAATGATGATATGAGCCTTAATGCTCAAAGTGTGTGTACATCTCCAGATAATCTGGAGACAGTTTCATGAGGCCCATGAACTGTGTATGTCGGTATGAACACTTTCTGTATGAACTTCTCACATGCGGGTGGGGGTGCACTGTGCGGCGTGGTTACATTTACTAATCTGCGAGAACTAGTGCGTGATCCATTAACCAAAATACGATCTAGGATTCTAGTTTAACCATTTTTCACAACAAATTGTTGTTTTTCTGAGCTTAGAATGAGCTCATAGTTTCATATCTACAGTAGGGGTGGCTCTTCTTCTACAGAGTCTGTCATGTTGTAGGACATCACATTTCTGTGGTAGGTCTAGTCTGACTCACCTGGTCTAAATTTGCAGGTATATACCTGCCATTGTCTGCACATTCCACACAGCCACCTGCACATTACCGTTTTCAAAATCCACTTCACTACAGGAAACGACAGCAATCTCCAAATGGCAACCTGCCACACTGGAAATTTTAAGTTTTTTTTCAAGGATTTGCATTGTGCAGTCCCTGTTTGGTTTTTTTTTGTGAATTAGCCATTTTATTACTATTCTTGCAAATGTGTGCAAGTGTTCCACTAAAACAGTTCCTAGTGCAGCTGTATCTGTCATTTAGCTTCACCCCAGCACCACTGTAATTAGTTTACAGAAGTGCAAACACGTCAGAGCATTTTTTTCCCCTTTATAGCAGGTTGATATTTACATGCAGCCAGACTTAAGTGTTCTAAAGGAAGGGCTGTCTAAGTGACACAGAGGGCCTAAATGGATCAACCATACACTGACTACAGAAAGGGCCTTTTTGCACCTTTAGATTTACAAACACCCGCCAAAGGTTCTACATGCTTGGGGAAAAAGAGGCGTGAGAAAGTTGGTCACCATTAGATACCACTAATCCTACACGGTGGAACTTTACACAGTATCACTGCTGCAAAATGGTTTCACTACACAACTCTGGGTGGCTGTTTGTTTGAGCGGTGGAGGAGAATGTTAACTGACAAGCAGCATACATAGCCCTCCCTGTGCTGTCTTATCACTTGCACTTTGCCTTTTGAAGCAAAAACATGTTTTACTTTTATCTTTCTAGGCTATCACACCAAAGAGATTCCTTGCCATCACGGTAAGTATTTCAATATTTTTTTGTTTTTTACCTAAAAAATTTAATAACAAATTGAATTCTTTCTTCCTGTTTATCTGAACTGTGCATAACTATTTGCCCTTTAATCTTCTCTTACAGAAAAGTGTGCAGACACCAGGTAAGTAAAAATGATGAAATCCAATGTTTAGTCTGATGTTAACAAGTTAAATAAGAATTTTCCCATTAAAGCTGGTGACTTTTAATACACCATAGGTAACGTTTCTAAGTACCTTGCGTCAGATAGTGACTTTTTGGACAAACTCCTTTTGCTTGAGAAGAGTTCCAAATATTTCTCAGTGCTCCGTGTTGCTGTGGCTCCCTGGAACGACATGCAGTCAGCTGATCAGCTGTAAATGCTTAATTTAGATATCTGTGATAAACTGACTGATATATCAGTCAATCTTTTGCTCTCATAGGCCGAGTAGTACTCCTTAAGACAAGTAAATGATTCTTGATGTATACAATTGTGTGCCAAATGCTACTTTGACCCTTGTTTCAGTCTAACCATTTCAACCTTTCTCTCTGTAGTAGTGGCCAGTCCAGGAGGCCCCAATGCTGTTCGCACCAGTAACTTTGTCCTGGTTGGATCACACAAGCTCACTCTGTCATCTATTGGGAAAAACAAATTCTCTTTGGAAAAGGTATAGACACCTTTTCATATTCTCCTCATGTCTTTTTTTTCACATTCACACTGTTCTAGCACTCTACCCTGTTCTTCAGTGCATTTCATATGTGGCTGACCTTTTGTCTGAAGACAAAATATCCTCGACAATAAATGGCTTACTTGTCATGTGTCTGTCTACAGGCTTGGCAGAGACTCACAGTAACTCTGTTTGGTCTCATAGAACAGTATGTTCTTGCCTGTGCGTTCATTCATCTGCCTTGATATCTTTCTTTTAGATCAAATATGAAGGAAGTGAAAGAGAACTACTCAGTGGCATGTTTCATAAAAAGGTTACTACTTGCCCTATCGTTTCTTTTCTTCTGTTTGTGTGGGGACGGGTGAGAGACACAATAACTAAATGTTCCTAACACCACTGTTAAAGTAACATCAACTTAACCTGATCAAAATCTGTTCTCATTAGGGGATTTATTTCCCTTTCATTTCTCAGTTTATACTGATGCTGTTAAGCAACCACATGTAACCGTCCATTCTAACCTCTGTTTAACCATAACTCTATGCTTCAACATTTCTAAACTGATCTCAATGTGATGTGCAAACCTTTTCATAAGTGACTGTGCTTTGGATTGAAGGTGCCATTCCTGTGCCCTCTGGAGGGCCACATCTACCTCAAGATGCAGTGTGAAGTGGGTTCCAAGGTGGAGGAGAGGGGCTTCCTGGTGAGTGCAGACAGATCATATCATCGCCACAGATGATCTGGCGGCAGGCCTCAGTTTACGATTACTACAGTTTATTTTATGTCTAATCTCCTTTTTTTCCCCCCCACTCTAGACAATGTTTGAAGATGTCAGTGGGTTTGGAGCTTGGCACAGAAGATGGTGTGTGCTGTCAGGATACTGCATCTCCTACTGGACCTACCCAGATGATGAGAAGCGAAAGGTAACCCAGCTCAACACAACGGTCACCATACAGCTTCTTGCAAGGCATGTCCTGTAACATCTTCAGAATGAACACATCCTGCCGTCTCTTCAGGAAACCGTTTGAAAGAGAGGCAGTAAAATCACACAGCTCCATACAGCTGGTTTAATAAGGCCAAAACAGTCCAGCGATTATTTAGACAGTGACACATTTGTTGCCTTGTTGGCTCCGTGTTTCGCATTCAGTTTAAGATGAAGGATCCTACAGCTCAGTCATGTTGAGATCAGCTGACTGACTGAGCCAGTAGAAGATATTCCACCTCTTCACCCTGAAACACTGTGGTTGCTTTGATTATCAACAGTGAAATCAATAAAATTCAAATGTGCTTGTTCCAATAGCAGCCAAAACCATATCAGAAGCATGACCATGTTTGATGTTTTTTTCCCTACACTTTCTTCCTTTTGTCATTTTAAGGGAGATTTTGAATCATCGGTCCAGACAACTTTTTAAAGTTATTTTCTGAACTACAACTTGACCTTTTTGTTTTTGAGACCTACCAGAAGTTTGCTTCATCCTCTGAGGTTCTGCTCATGAAGTCTTGTCTTGATCATTTAAAAGGAAACATTTTTCTATATCCTACAGAGGATTTTTGACTTACTTTGCAATAATAAAGGCCTTTTTCTTTACCAGGTCATCTTGTGCTCCCCAGTCTAAGAGCTAATTTCCTATTTTCTCTGTTTCCTGTGTACATGTGCTGTTTTTTAATTTTAGAATAAATCAAGTTGTTGATTTTGGCAAACCAGTTAACTCTGACATCTGTATGGTACTTTATTTATTTATTTATTTTTTTAACTTTCATTATTCATGTCCTTCATCACCTTTTTAGTCCACATACTAACGGACAGCTTAACCTTTGCCTAATGGCAGTTTTCACTCAACTCTTTTGTGTATGAACTAATATTGAAATTGCATGAAGATGCCCGTTTAATAGACAAACATGCAATTGGTGTAAACCTATTTAAACTAAAGCTGAGACGTGGTGCTTTTTATTTTAAATTGAATGTGCACAGAGCCTGTAGAACAAAAAAATGTCAAATACGTTTGGACTGTACTTGAAAGTGCAAAAGGGAACAGAGGGGTGAGACTAAACAACAAGCTATATAGATTGAGGTAGAAGCTTCTTCTCTGTAGGACATAGACATGGGAAGGAGATGGTGACAAGCTGGTCATGGTCAACTATGCTACCAAGTAATCTATAAAGAACTGGAACAAACACTGAGCCTTGGTAATACGGCTAATGCATTTATACCCCACAGGACAGTGTGTCTCTTTGTGTGCTATTGTCTGACAATTTGTTTGTCTGTCAGAATCCCATTGGTCGCATCAACCTTGCAAACTGTACCAGCAAGATGGTGGAACCAGCCAACAGAGAGTTTTGTGCCAGACCGAACACATTTGAGCTCATCACAGTCAGACCACAACGAGAGGACGACAAGGAAACACTAGTCAGTCAGTGCAAGAACACCATGTGTGTCACCAAGTAAGCGCCTACCTTTTATACTTGTACATATACACACTGTACGGGTCTGTTCAGATTTCCTGTGAATAACAGTGACCCTGCATTGCTTGTTTTTCTGCGCAGAAACTGGCTGAGTGCTGACACTAAGGACGAGAGGAATTTGTGGATGAAGAAGCTGAACCAGATTCTGGTGGATCTGCGAATGTGGCAACCAGACGCCTGTTACAGGCCACTGTAATCACTGCCCTCCATCGCAGCCAGCCTTTCTATCCTTTGGACTGTCAATATCAGTGATACATGCAATTACTAAGTGCAATACAGTATGACAATTGTTAGATATTTTTGCTTGTGGACATTTGACAGGAGATGAATAATCAAACCCATAAGTTAAAGGTCGGAGGACGTAAATAAAGCCATATATCTGGGACATTTCAGTACAGTGTTTTTGAGTAGGAGTTCGGCTTTGGCACTATATTTTATACATTTCCAGTCTGATTTGTTACGCTAATGTTTTTGAGTATTGTTGAGATGCCACCTTTTTATATTAATGCCAATATTAAGTGTGCTTGACACATGACGCATGGCTTTAAATAACTTGGTTTCAGAGCTGAAATCAATATATTAATGGTGTTTATGCTACAGATGAATACTAAGTTGAAGCACCACAGTTTTATCATATTTTATTTTGCATGACAGCACTGGACAGTACTGAACAGTACTGAACCATTTGGTAAGTTTATACTTTATATGTTAGCTTTTAGCTAATAGCTTTTATTGTGGCAGGACTTTAATATTCTTCGATGCCATGCACAGATTTTTGACACCATTTATATGCCAGGGTTTGTTCTATTTGCAATGTTTGTGTAAGTGCTTCAGAGTGGAGAGTTTTGGGGTAAAGTGGGTGAAGTCTGTAACATATTCTGAAGTCTGACCAACACATTTTTGAACCAGTACTGATTGCTGTGTGAATATCTGATAAGCACATACTGGCCATTTAGTCAGTATTTATGTTTCTTTAACATAAATGCATAACATGAACACTCCATGTCTGATATAAAAACGTGGCTCATCTACACAAAGGAAGCAGTTTTGCATTTCTATTGGCTTTTCTGGTGTGTGAAGTACTGGTCACCAAACTGAAGAGCTTTACCTGCTTATTGGCTCAGAGCCTTAAAATAAAAATGTCAGGCTCACGTATCTTGTGCTGATTTAGGTCTTTTTTTTTTTTTTTTAAAGATTCTTGTACTTTTAGCTGCGTGTTAAGCAGTAATATCTGAAATCTATGGTGTTGCAGCAGATAAAAATGACAGACCACATATGAGGCTTCTGAGGTGTTTCCCTTGTGTTGTGTACGGAGAGTGTGTCACAGACTTTACTGCAGGTGTTGGTCGATGTTTTCATTCATGTCTGCATAAAAGATGGCGCTTTTTCATCCTGCTGATAATGAATACAAAATGAAAGAACTATAGAAGATGTCTTTTTTTTCCAGAACAATGAGCAGGGACTATATATATATTTGTGTTTTCATCAGATGCTTGAACACACTTGTCAGTTTGTCAGGTATTTGTGGATCAGTGAGATGACAATAAATGTCTGCTTTGACTAAAACGGCCGAGGCTACAAATACACAGGTCCTTTGTTTTCATTTTACTGAAATGTCACATTAAATGGAATCTCGAATGGCTCTGAAACCTGTGAACTATTTTGATATAGTGCTGTCTTACTGAGTACTGTCGTTTCTGTTGGTCAGGCGGTTCTGACCAGAAACTCCTGCATGCTACACTTGAAGTGGTTTAATAATGGCTGATGGTTTGCTGCTTGTGAAGGATGCAGCAGAAAAGATTTTACCCGTTTTTAATATAACTTAAATGTGAATTAATTCAAAATTGCATTGCTTTTCAGTAATCGCATTACTGTTAAGCTGAACAGTAGCGTTTTACTCAAACATCAAATTGAAAGCTACCAGTTTAGATTTTCTATACTGAAAGCACAGACCCCACAATAAAAGCTCAATGCAACTAAAGTCCATCTTTATTTCCTCAGCAAGGAGGGCGCCAGTGTTACACAAAGTTCTGTAGAGATGTTCTGTCGTTGCTCATGTGGATTTTTTGAGCTGGAGGGGTTGGGCTGCCCTGCCCTCCTCTTTAGGTGTTCTATTCTTCTGTTGAGTGTCTCAGACTGGCTGGACTCCTCACCCAGGTTTCTTCCTCACACACCTCCTGGCTCCTCCTTAAGCTCTCCGTTTGACTACATTTTATTTGTTTGGGCTTCCTGTGATTCCATTTGAACAATGTCCTGGTCGGGGTGTGTGTCTGATGTGTGGGTGGACCTGAGGGGGAAAGCGTGAAGTTTCTAATGTACGTGTAAGATTACTGTGAAAGTCTGATCGCTGCCAGAAAACAAGGTAAGTAAGATTCATCCTCCATGTGTGGCTCATCACTGGAATCTGGGAGAACCTAATTCAGCAGGTAAGAGATTCACCTTCCCATTTCACATGACTGACTCACTGGGAGGAGGAATCTGCAGCAGCCTCATGAAAAGCTATAGCTGCTGATGTCATGCTCGTGGCCTGCTGATTGATACCTGATGAAGTTTAGCACCAGATTCAGTTGTGTTGTTTTCTTTCAAAGTTGTGATGACTCCAGGACCCAAAACCAAAAGATTTGCAAAAGAATCCGAGTAGAGGAAAAGAGATGAGACACAGTTTGGGTAGTGACATAAAGACAGGCTTAATGTAAATGTGTTTTAGTAAGAACCAGGGGCAAGGCTTCAGGGGGCGCTGGAGGGACTGCAGGACCCCAGCAATTCTAACAATGACTACACACAGTGTGTGAGTTAGTTGTAAACTGTTGGTGGTTGTAAATTGTAGCAGCCCAGCCGCTTAACTTATAGAATAACCGCTATCCGTGGTGCTGAACTGCTTTGAATTTGTGTTGTTTTATTATCAGTGACCATGTAGCCTCATGTTTTTGTTGTTCTCGTGGTTATACTTCATGTCCGTTTAATGGACTTTAAAACGACATAGCTGCTCTCCGCGGTGCCGAAGCTTGTAAGCGCCGCTGATGCGGGCATGTGCATGTTGTAAAATGATGTTATCATGAGCTTTATTATTTGGGTTTAAATAATAAAGCAAACTATCCTCTACAGTTCAATTTATAATCTACAACCATTAATTTAGCTAATCTACGTATTTTAAACATTCCTGAATTTTACAGACTGTATTGTTTCCTTTTATTTCCAACATGTAGTCAAACTGGATGATGGTTGCAGTGACTATCTGGATGGGAGTATTAACTTGACATAAATCAAACTGTACTGAAGCAGTGAGTTACAATTCATAATAGGGGACACTAAATAAAGAGAGAGAAAAATGCTCTACTGCAACATCAGCTGCATGTGCTCTGTAACTGGGAACCTGGAGTGTGATTACCAAAAAAAATAAAAGCTATATCTTTAATTCTGCAGAAGACCTCACACACAGCACACCAAAAGAAGAGCAGTGACACACTCCAGAGGTTGTGGGCGAATGCTATCCCTGCTGTCGTCCAAGAGGTGAAAGAGACCCACTGCCAGGTGAAATGTTTCCACAGAGTGGGGGAAAAGGGCTTTTTACCTCTGCCATCGAGGTTATGTTTCAGCTGGTGTTTATCTGTTTGTTTGTTTGTTTTGGCAAGATAACTTGGAAAGTTACGAATGGATTTTCATGAAATTTTCAGGAAATGTTGATAGTGGGGGCTGCAAGGTGGCCAGGTGGTTAGCATCATTGCCTTGCAGTAAGAAGGTCGTGGGTTCGTGTCCCGGTTAGGACGCCTGGGATCTTTCTGCGTGGAGTTTGCATGTTCTCCCTGTGCAGCGTGAGATTTCTCTGGGTTCTCCGGTTTCCTCCCACAGTCCAAAAACATGTTGAGGTTAATTGGTGATCCTTCACCCTAAGTCAGCTGGGATAGGCTCCAGCCCCCCCCCCATGACCCTAGTGAGGATTAAGCGGTGTATAGCTAATGGATGGATGGATGGATGGACAATGCTGTAGTTCTACACTACTGTATACGTGTGTCAAAAAATCTTTTTGTTTGTTTCTTTCCTCCTTCTCTAACTCTTGCTCTGTTTCAGCACAAGATGCACAGAAGGATTTAATGTGTGTGAAGCCTCCCTGCAGTGGGACGCCACCCTCGCCCTGCAGCCCTGCAGCCCGGGCTTCTAGCCATTTCTTTGTTACTTATTTTAAAAATCCAAGCTTTAACCTTCCCAGCGATGTGGTCTCTGTGAAAATGTTCTAATGCATTGTTTGCATAAGATTACTTCACACATTTTTATCATTGTAATCTTTAGCCACTGTAAGATTGCCCTGGTTGACTTCAGCCAATAGCTTTTTTTCTCTGTGTCAGGGGTGAAAACCAAACATTCAAGCTGCTTTCTCAGGGCAAACGTTATTATACAGCCAACCATGGTGGAGACTGATCACAGGGACAGCATGAACAAGCACACAAATACATTCCACATCCTGTTCATTTAGTCACTTATAATCAAAATTATACAACTCAGTGAAGCAGTATCAGTCAGGATTTAGCAGTAAGTCACACCGTGTGCTTTCCCTCACCTATGAGAAGTCACAGTTTATCAGCTGCAGTTCAATCATTTGTTTCACAGCTGAATCCTGAGCTCAGCTAAGCTTGATATTATTTTACTCTAAAAGTACATGACAGAACGTGACCTCTCCTGTCAATGAAATAACCACCACGACATGACAACCGTTAGCTCAGTAATAATGAAAACACAGTTTATTGTACCATAAGTTATTATCACA